ATTAAGACCGCTGATTGGCTGATAAGCTAAAATTGTAACCCGTCCGCCACGGACGGGTTACAATTAGAAGATCAATTATGTGAACCGGAACTTCTTTTTAATCTGACAATATGACATAAGAAACAGTAATCAAGTTCAAAGATTATTTAAAACGAATCTAATATCTTTATGCGCAGTGTTGTGCACTTTTTGTAATTTGTAGTTAGCAACTACATGTATCTGTCATTCTATAAAGTTATTCATGCAATGTGCAATATAACTTCTAGTACTATTTGCATCTGACACCAAACCTCTGATACTTAAGGATTATTTACTTCAAGTGTGTCTTCTAGTTAAACATGTCGTAAAATTCAAACTAATACAATTTACAATAACTATTTCAAAGCTTGTATGATTTACATGTTTAACTATGCTTATTATTTTTACCAAAAAACTTCATCCTATGTTGTATAAATGACCGAGACATATGTGAATTATGATATTTACGACAAAGGCCTAAGAAAGTCGACCGTAGAACAACAATTGCAAACTCTAGAGTCTGTATTAGCAACAGGAATTCCGAATGGCAATCCGTTAACAGAGCCAACCGACAGAAAACACAAGCCTCTAGAAATATCAGAGGTGGTATCAGGTTCACGAAGGACTAAGGATCATATATCGAGCAGTTCGACTCGCTGCGTGATCCTTGTCATGATCATATAAAATTCATAGACAATTCAGTGTGTACATAACGGACTTACAAAATATATGGAAAACTTCAGTCAGAATTCGACTTAATGATAGATTGTATTTGCTAACGAGCTAACTGTATCATGATCAACAATAGAATTTGCATATTGTTGACTTGTCGATGTCCGTGGGTAATCAGTTTGTGTATTTAATCAACTAAGATCATAAAGTGATAAGGAGATAAGGTATATTGCAAAATAAATGAAGGTGATAAGGGATAGATCTGTTGAAGTCATCACATTTGTCATAAAGTTTTGTCGCTACGATTAAAGCTTCTTCCCAGTCAATATTGAAATATGAAACAGTTGTGTCAGACTCTATTTATATAATAGTGTTGCATTATGCATGTACTATGCCTAAATAGTAGGCAGGGTTTGACACATGGTGCACGAGCCGGAGGTTACTCATGCCAACACTTTATAACCGGTACATGTATTTCATTGTAAATTTTTTTTCTCTCTCTTTTCTACTTTTTTTTTTCTCTTGTTTTTGTTCTTTTGTTTTTGCTACTATGTGTGTCTATTTATTTTTATATCTATATATTGTGTGTTCATTTTGACCTTGTAGGGAGAGGGCTAAAATAGGCTTTGCCTGCTGCCCAATCCCATTCACTTATGTGAATAAAATTTTGTATAAATAAAAAAAAAACCCTGCCTACTATTTAGGCATAGTACATGCATAATGCAACACTATTGTTATTATTATATGTTCATGGTTGTTATTATTTCTTATGCGGCAATCCATTTGATTTTTTCCTGCAAAATAATGGTGGTAACACAGCGCACTTGCAAAAACTCATTCAAAATCTTCATGCTAAAATTAGCTGCATGCTTATTTATTTTGGTTACTCAGCAATTTTCTCGCAAATCTGGATTTTCCGTTTAAGATACTCATTATTATTATTGTCGTTATGGGTATTTCCTGTGTGAACAGAGTGGTGGATCTGTGTGGTTTTTATGTCACGTGACATGGTCATATAAATAGCAGGTGCGTGCTTTAAAAGTTATTCTACCGCTCGTACAGAACGTTGTAAGGAATGGAAACCAGTACAGCGAGTTCAGATGTGCACTATTCTGAAGAAGTTTTATTCGGCGAGTCTAGTACTAGTGAACAATTGTCTAACGAGGATGCAGTATCTTTGTTTAAAGGTTCATTGAGAAAAGCTTTGCATCAGCAGAATGAGGTCATTGTGAGTTCTATTGTGAAGCAAATTAACAGTAAACCTAATAATCCCGCCACGAATACCGAACACGAGGATAGCGCACGGGAGGATACTAAACACAACTCATTCGATTTCAAACACGAGGGACACCGCATTCAACATACTTTTAATACAGAGAGAATAAAGAAGTTGAATGAAACAAAAAACTTTATAGAGAAGAAAGATTTGGAGAATGCGGCACTGACAATTGAGAAAGAAATCGGCGAGTTGCGACAACGAAACAAGATTCTAAAAATAGCAGACAGGCACGGGTGGGATACTGTCAACGAATATTTAGACGATCCATTAGCAGACAACAATGACGACGCTGTTAAGTTACGGGGCGCTGTTAGCCGTGCTGTTCGTAAGCGTAATTACAGAGGGAAGCCATATACATATCCCATGCAAAACCGTAGACAGAATGCATTTGCTGCCAACGACTTTTTTCGCACTTTCGGCCAAACGTTTGCTACAGGGGGGTACAAGCAATTCGCCAAAACGAATCGAATACGGCGCAGGTCAACAGAACTTTGAACGGAAGCGCTTTTTCTGCAGACAGGTCGGACATTACGTCAGGGACTGCCCATTTGCCAGAGGACAACAAGTTCCAGCGTCAGTTTCACCGGTCGCATCGGCCTCTAGCAACAACGCCAACAAGCAGTAGTAGAGAACAAGTTGAGTATAGTAAAATGAAGGCTGTATGGGTGATTCTTATGAATATGAGTTAAACACGTGTTCGAAGATTTCAGTAAAGTTTCGGTTAAAAAATTGTTTACAATTTTGGAAGAGTGAATTGTCTTCAAACATATTTGTTAAAAATACTATTCAGTTTGGTTATGTAATTCCATTTATTCAATTGCCGCCTAAGGTCGTTTTAAAAAATAATAAGTCGGCTCATATTCACAGTGATTTTGTTTGTACAGCCATCAATGATCTTTTAAATTCTGGTTGTATTCACGAAATATCTGAAGAAAAAATACATGTTGTTAATCCACTTACTGTTTCAGTGAACAGCACAGGTAAGAAAAGGTTGGTGTTAGATCTTCGACATGTAAATCAATTTGTAGAAAAACAAAAGGTGAAGTTTGAAGGGGTGAGTGAGGCTTTACAATATGCAAAACAGGGAATGCACATGATTAAGTTTGATTTAAAATCAGGTTATCACCATATTGATATACATCCAGACTTTCACAAATAATTCCCGTTTGGAAATATGGTGACAAATTCAGATTTTTGAAATGAGATGTGTTACCTTTTGGTTTATCTTCAGCAGGGCATGTTTTTACAAAAGTAGTGAGAGTTTTAGTGAAATATTGGAGATCATGTGGTATACCTGTGGTAGTATACTTGGACGATGGTTGGGTTTGTGATACGTACGAGAAGTGCAAGTCTGCATCAGACATAATACAAGACACGTTACAGAGATCAGGTTTTGTTATAAATACTGAGAAGTCAGTACTTGAGCCTACTCAGAGTATGGTGTGGTTAGGGTTTTTGTGGAATTTGAAAAGCGGGATGCTAGAAGTTCCTTTGGAAAAAATTAGTAATATTAAATCTTTATTAAAAGAACTTTTAGAGAATAAAAACAATATTTCGGCGAGAAAATTATCTTCTGTTGTGGAAAAATTATCGCATTAAAACCATCTTTGGAAATATATGTCAGTTAATGACTAGACGTCTCAGTATTACAATTTGCTCTAAAACTGGCTGGGATGAAATTTTGTATATAGACAATGGAAATATCAAGAGTTAAGTTTTGGCATTACAATATCAGTAAGCTCCCTTGCAAATATTTTACATGTATTGATAAGACACCAGAGAAAATTATTTTTTCGGATGCAAGTTCTCATGCAGGCGCAGGGTTTATATGTGAAAGGAATAAGAAAATAGCTCATTACATGTGGGATCAGTGTGAAAAAAGTAAAAGTTCAACTTGGAGAGAATTAAAGTCAGTACAAATAGTTTTAACAAGTCTGGCAGATGTGTTGAGTGGAAGATTTGTGAAAATATTTACAGATAATCAAAATGTCGTGCGCATCGCATGTAAAGGTAGTATGGTTGACGAGCTGCATCAGCTGGCATTGAGTATATTTGGTGTCTGTGTGCAATACAGTATTTTACTTGAAGTACAGTGGATACCAAGAGAATACAACATGGATGCAGATAGTTACAGTCCCATGTTTGACAGTGATGATTGGAGTGTGTCTGATCACATTTTCCGATATTTTGATAGGATATGGGGTTCTTTTACAATTGACCTTTTTGCAAATTGTAAGAGTAACAAAGTTAAAAGATTTTATTCGAAATATTGGAATCCAGGCACTACAGGAGTTGACGCTTTCGCTTATGATTGGTCAGGTGAAAATTGTTGGATAGTACCTCCTCCTTTCCTTATAGGCAAAGTGATAAAACATTTGCGTTTGTGTAATGCATATGGAACTTTAATCATTCCTAAATGGTTGTCTGCTTTATTTTGGCCAATGATATGGGATAAAAGTACAACATCTTACAAATCTTATATAAAAGAATATGTTGAATATAATAACTGAAGAAAATTTTTTATGTCAGGATCAACAAGTCGAGTATATTTGCTCAAGATATGTTTTTGAGCAACGTTTTGGTTGTTAGAATTGATTTCAGAAAAATATAATAATAGCCGTTTAAATATGTAAGTGTGTGTGTTGTTATATTTTTGCTGTTTATTCACAGATTTTTAATAATACTTGGGGGTGGAAAATGAAAGACATGTCAACGAAAAAGAGTTCTTGTCAATTAGCTCATTTTCTTTGAGACAATATGTGCAATAATGGAGGTCATCAGTTACACAAATTTAAACTAGATTAAATGAGATGTTTTCATTGTTTCACTCAATGATTCACTAGTGACTAGTTAAATACAAATATGCCTAGCAATTACAAAAAAAATATCAGTATCATTTTGTTGAAAACAGAGAAACCCCACTTCAGATCTATGGTCTGATATTCTAGAATTTCTAAATTAATGAAAAAAAATAATTCATTTTTTGTTTACATGTACATTAAAAATATTTATATAATACTTTTATCATTGTAGCTGTCAAGAGTTTCAGGCTTAAAGCATGAAGAAATAAAAAATGCATCATTTCTCCACAGGGTATGTATACTTTTAAAGCATTTCAGTTTTAAATTATGCATGTGCTATACATTTTGTTTGTTTATTGTTGTTTTTTTTTTTTCATTTTGGTAAAAAAGGAGAAAATTTTTTATTTAGAAAATATTCTATCAATAACTATTGTAAATTTCAGAGGTTTCACTTTCCCAGGGAAGTTTTTGTAACACATTTTTTTTCCATTTATATGAATAACATAAATCACTACAGTATACAATGTAGCATAATTTGTTTTGTCAAATGTAATGCCATTTTATTCTACAATGTATATTTAGTAATCTCATATAACTGCATATATATTGTGTTGTAGGCATAGCTATTCCCAAAATGTTGGACTAATGGATTCATTCAGGCAGCAAGTTAATCCATCATTTAAGGAAAATGGTATGCTCAATATAAGCTATAAATCATACAAAGTTTTGATAATAAAACTAACAGAAGAATTGAAAACATGTATACATTCTATGTTAAATGTTTCAATACATTTTTCATTTCATTTTTATAAACACAAATTACTTTCAATAATGGTATTGTATGATTTTTTTCATATTTTCAGAATGCATTTTATCCACAAGAAGTCAGAACATAAAGTGAAGGAAATAATTTGCACCTGTCCAACATTCCTAGTCTGTCATTGGATTTGAAAAGAAATGCTTATTAAATAAATTTTCTAGATAAATAATAATTTGACTTTTTCTTATATTTACTGTACAGGTGTTGAAAAGACTATTAAGATTTGAAAATCTTAACTTGCATACTATTTTGTGTGGAGGGTACTTATTTCCAATATGTGCATTGTGTTCATTTATTTTTCAATAATATTACCAAAAACAGGAGACAAAAGATCCCCCTAATTGATTCAAAATAGGATAGGGGACCATCATTTGATTCTGAGGGAAGGGGGATGGGGGCTGGCAAGTTTTTCCACGTCAGATTTTTCATGTCAGTGAAGGACAGATTAATATTTATTTCCTATCAATAAGATGAAGGACAGATTATTTATTTATTTTCCTCTTCATTGAAAAGTCTAACGAGCCAAAAAAAAAAAAAATGAAAAAAAAAAAAACAGACTCTGATTTGTGAGAGAGAGGGGGGATCACTGATCTGAAAGTATTTATTTTTAAAATCTGCCAGCCCCTCTGACAACCTTAAAAGAAAATAGTTGTCCCCTAAACAAATAAAGCAATATACCCCATCCCTTTTAATTAGTTCCTAAAACTTATAACTTAGTTTAAATCCCTTAATTAACAGTGAGCAGTCTGATTGAAAGCGATCGTAGAACATGATCTAGTATGCAGAAAGAAAACATATTAACACAAGTGTGTGTACCATTGGCGTGAGAAGCAAAATGAAAGGAGGCTTATTGAAGGGAGGGGGGGGCTAAACCAAAGAAAAAGGTAAACTCTAATGCCTACATTATGTATATAATTTGTAAATAAGTAGGGAGGCTAAGCCTGACCCCCACCCCCCCCCCCCCCCCCCCCCCCCCCGGTTCCGACGCGTGTGCGTACAGTAGTGAGAGAGGGGTATAATTATCTAATTAATTATTAATGGATCCTATATCTTAATTAACAATTTGTGTTCTACATAAATACATGTATATCGGCAATATGTATTAGACCTATGTGTGTGTAATACTACATGTATATACACATCTTTGAGGAAATGCGGGAGGCTTGAAAGACATTAAATGTATACAATGTATAGAAACTAATACACAGAATAGAAAGAAATATCAAGGATTTTTATGCAAACCATTTTGATATAGTAAAAAGAGTCCAGTCCTGTCCGCGTGTATATTTATTTAAAATCTACTAGGTAAACAAACTAGATCAAGTACTCAAGAGTTATCTCCCATGCTGGGTCATTGATGCGTTTGAAAACTATAATTAGATTGACTCTTCCAAGATTTCAATTTTTAATCAAAAAGTGCAAGGGCAAGGCGACAATCTAAAAAGTAGGTTTTTATTTTAAATGATTTATTTTATTGTAAAGTTTTCAAAAAGCGATGCTCATTTCTTTGTAATCCCTTAGTTAATTTATAATTCGCGATGAAATTAGGAAAATATCCTATTTTTCATGCATTACTGTCTGTTTTAGCTGAATAACTTAATTATATCGGAAAACTAACTGAATGAGCATCACTTTTGAGAAAGTATAAATACATAGAGACAACACAAAACATTGTGCAGTTAATTTTTTGTTTGCCTTAACCTTGCACTTTTTGGTTAAATTTGACATCTCATTTTTTGACCTAAAATCGGAGCCCACGTGACCTCAGGGGGTCACATGATGTAAAAAAATACCGATGTGAAAAGCGATTGGCATACTCTTTAAGATAACCATTAGCTATTTTTACTAGAGTGTCTTGCTCAATAATAATACTATTAAACATTATATGTATCGGATTCTGTGAATTTTTATAGAAAATGTTGCCTTAACCGTACTGCGTAATCTTAAAAATAAAACAGGTATTGTATAAAACCAATTTTCTTTAAAATGGACTTATTTATTAGTTTTATCTGTAAATATTTACAAAAAAAACTGTATAAGTAATTGATTATTATCAAAGAGTATATTTGGGATTAAATATGCATTTAAAGGAGTCTTTTAAATAAGTTTTAAATGATTTAATATTAATAGTTGTCCAAAAATACCCGCATGGTACCATTTAAACTTGGTATTAAATGAAACAGGGGGTGTAATATGTCATAGGGTATATAGCGTCCTAAACAACACACATATTGCCAATAAATCTGAGTATTGAATAAAACAGTTCGGTGTTTTGTTTACTACATCTACCTAAATATGTAAATACATGTATGTCGGTCATCGCTAAGTTTTTATTCAAGAGAGGCAACCAATAGGATTAACTTTGAAAATAAATACACATTCCAAAGATATAAAATACTTTATGATAAAATGTGCTTCATATTCTATAGGTATTATAACAATAAATTACCACGATCATATTCTTATTGTTGATACCATTACATTTGTTTATTTTTTCTTTATCTATCAATTTTTTTGTAGGCGAAAGATTGTACAAAACTTCAAAACAAGCAAGAAATGTTCTGAGAATAACGGCACTGAAAGCATTGAAGATGTCTCAGAGAACGTAAATGAATATCAGGAATTAACTGTCGCTAGAGATAACAATGAATATCAAAGCATACGAATGTCAGAGGTTACCTCAGTTGAACAAAGCAACACGTATCAGAACCTTGTCTTGACTACACTGTAGTTTTTTAAACGATGTTTTACTTCCTTGTATTCATTATAGACCAGTATTTCCATCAGAAGTCCCAGGGGCGAAAGATTTTGGTTTTCGCATTTCGTCAAAATCCATTTAGTTTACAATATATTTTGTTCCAATAATTTTTTCGGCATCTTATACCTGAAAAGAAGAAAACACTTGCTGTTGATTTTAGAAATCAACGACGTATTGTCATTTAACAATTATAGACCGTTCACGGTAACTCAGTCGGTAGAGCGCTCGTTCCGTGATTGGGAGGTCATGAGAATATTGGCTGTGACTGATGAAGCCGATAAAAAATGGATAGCAACTGTTCTTTCGCCATGCGCTCGGCACTTTTAAGTGAAAGCTGCGGGTCCTTCGGTGACCTTTCAGCTTTCAGCGACCGGCGTTGGCACGATAAAGATCCCTCACTGTTCAATGACCCTGAGTGCCGAGTAATGTCAAAATTTTAAGCTCTTCACCGAGATATGGTGACGTCTCAATATGGTGAAAATTTCTCGAGAGGGACGTTGAACAATATACAATCATTTGACAATTATAAAGTAATTTCTATTCCTATGTCTAAAGGATATTTCCAAGTGAGCTTGAAATAAAAGATACGACAGAATTTGACATATCTCTTTCATATTTTAAAACAAATTACAACCAGGCTGTATGATAAACGTGATGACTAACTTTTCTATCAGTGATCGTCAACTTCCTTTACTTATGCAGTAATATACCGGTACCTTTTTCACCTTCATACGGAGTTTATATCTCTCAATTGATTCGATATGCGAAACCATGTTCTACATATGCACAATTTCTAACAATTTTTTAAACGAGGTAAATTAATGACGAACAAATTGCTGAAAAAAGAATATCAGCAGTCTCATATAAAGTCATTATTTCTTAAGATCAATGGTCCATACATTGACTCTTTCAGCAAATACAAATTATCTGTAAATCAATTGCTGACTGACGTTTTTCAGTCTAATTGTTAGGCTATTTTATACAAACTGAATTCTCCACAGATTTTTCCGTTATTTCCTGATCTTAACAAGGAGCACACGGCTCGTATGACTGGTCGGCAAGGGATGCTCATGCCTCAGTGGAAATAGACTCCATCTTTTATGTTCGTGTTCGCTGTGTTCAAATTTTGTATTGATTGATAGTTTTTTATAGCTTTAATATATCATTGCATGCACATAAAGATTTTTAAAAAATGTATGTTAAACTACTTTTGATTCATAAAATAATTTGTAAATAAAGCACAGACAAAAAGGTTCCATAAATGATTATTCTTTGGAACAAATATGTTTATAAAAAGATGATTGTAACACCGTTATGTGCTGTGTGAGTGATTACGTGTATTTCTATTTATAAAGGAAAAAAGTGGCAAAATCATGTAACTGTATTTACAAAAATGTTAAGCAAGTAAAGTGTATGTAATCTTCATTGCCTAATTATGTGATCTCATTTTAAATTGTAATTCATTTTCTCCTTTGTTACTTGTCTACTTCATTTACGTTAGCAACGCATTTTTTCATCAATATTTGTGAGTAATTCTAAATATGACGACTTTGAGTTAGGTGGCTCATGCACAATTTTTAAGTAAGCAAACATATTCCTTTTCTTCGTCTGTAGCGTAAACAAGAAGAAAAATCTTAGAATTTTGAATGAGCCCGAAAGTACTCTCATGCATTTCGAAGAAAATATTGTTTGATAAAGATAATTTTTCAATTCAACAATGCTATTTTATAAATAATTCCAAGCTCTGACAAGAGCATATTTCTCGTGAAGGAGAGTACACCAAAAGTCACTTTTTATCCTGCATTAAAATCTTGATCAGTGCCGGAATATCTAAATACGGAAACAGTAAGTTTATGAGCTTAGGTATTAATATTTACCAGGAAGTAAAAATCTGAAGTGGAAAATACATGTGTAGACAAGAATATCCATCCCCTTAGTGCACTTTACAGGGAAATACTTACATTTACAAATACTTTTCCTTTTGCTACTGTATCTATGCAAGACGTATTTATTTTGGGGTAAAACATGTTGAATTTCTTCACAGCTCCTTTAGTTTGTCAAAGACATCTGGTGTAATTTATAGTGACGTCATAAGCAGCGGATGAATTCAACACATTCAGTTAATACATTTGAGTTTGAAAAAAAAATATTTTATTTTGTAGGATAAAGACTTCAGCACATTAAATACATAATCTGTATCAAAGCTTAATATACGTTATGAGATATAGTTTTTAAACTTTTGTTGATATTAAATAAATGTACGGGATTGCATGTTTAAAATCTTCAATAAAGCCCATATGATTTGATAACAAAACAAAACCGTGTTACACCCCATTTAAAATTTTAATTTAGGGGGGCACGTTATTTTTTAAAGAAAATGTAAAACGTATGATGTTTTCTTT